GTCCTGCTGCCATCTCCGATTCCTGGCGGTATATGTAGTCCCCCTTAAGTGGATAGAATAAAACGGCTTTGGGTATCCTATAAGATCCCCACATACCCCATGTTCTATCTACTTAAGGGGGACTATATGCCACTCAGACTATGCAGGCCCATCGAGCGATGGCAGCCGCAGCAGCGGACTTTGTCCGTGGTACCGGGGCCCCGGAAACCGCGGGGCCCTGGAAGCGGCTGGAGGAAGATGCAGCCTGACAGGGATATGTGAGCTATAGTCTAAACTCCTTAAAGGGGAGTATATAGGGGACTACTACAGGGGTTATGAAGGGGGATACTAGGAATTTAGATTATAACTCATATGTACTGGATCCTCTCCATACTTGCATCAGAAAAACAAAAAAGGCACACCCCACAGTCATGTCCCTAAAACGGGCATACACACCCCTGGAAAAGTTCCCAGCTTGCTACGCTAGTAGGTAAAATTGGCCGACCCGTTATCTGGAAGTCTTTGTGGCAAGGATTACAGTATTTTGGGGTCTACATTAGGGGCCCCTAGTTACGAACATCCTCACCTGTAAGATTGAGTGCAGGCTGCAAAGCCAGCCATTGATTTGCTACGTAGCCATAGCCGCGCCATTGCGGGCTGAGTACGTAAACGCCTGTACTTCCAAATTCCAAAACCAGGACCAGAACAATATACCCTAAACCCTAAATAGTAGATTCCATTTTATTTTCCATTATCCCAATAGATCCCCAATATCTACCCTATGATCCCTATCTGGCTTTGAGAAAGTGCTTTGATATCACTTTCTTGCCAGATACCAGAGCGTACTCTTAGCATCCAAGAGCGCGCGCTACTTTTCTTGCCTAGGGGTGGGCTGCAGGGCATTCAAAGGCCTCAACACAGGGACTTTGATTGCTGAACTGGCAGCTACCCAGATCCATTGATTTCGCATTTTCGCGGAGAGGTTTCCTCGCCAGTAGCTGGGACCTCGTCCAGCCTTGCCTGAGATATCAAAATACACTGACACGCTGGCCTGATGTGTTGTTAGACGTCAACCCAATTCTGTCATTCCGCTTGGCATCCTGCACCCATTGCAGTTGAACAATGCAGCGCAGGCAGCTACTGCGGAGAACGGGGTTCCGCCAACGTCATAACCCTGGCGCCATCTTCCATAAACACTCTCAAACCAACTGAAAAGACTGCAGCAGGTTCAATGCTTCGAATAAAGGTCTTGAAGCCAAGTAGACTACCTATCTTTTTGCTTGTCATTCTGTGCTTCGGCTCTTTTCTCCGGCTGGCAAGCACCAGCTGTCCTCAGCCCTGCCCCGACCAAGGCCGGGCTGCGATTCAAGATAGCCAGAGCATGGCAGTCTTGCAATGAGGGGTATTCGCTACTAATATATTATGACAGTCAGCGTCTTCAAGGGCCATGCGATTGTTGGAGTAAGTGTACGTGAATGCAAACCATACAATGGAAAGCTAGTTTCTTCAACGATTTGCACTACACGTCTTGATGTTCCTGCGGAAATTGGCATCCGTGCTGCACGATGTTGCTTGAACGAAGCAGAGGCGACTGCTGGGGATTTGTTGTGGCAATCTATGTAACTTGAGGGGCACGCTATGTTTGTGCTTGACAGGATCTGAATTTCAGTCATACCATCCAGCTGTCAGATAGTTGCACAGGGGAGTCCCGCCTCGGCCACCGGAGTACAAAACCCAGAGCCTTAAGGAGCTGACTTGATCGTAGGGCTACACAGCTTGCAATAACGTATCGGAGAAATCCATGTCATCTCAGAAATGCTGGCTCACTCTGTTGAAGATTGTGATGCTCACATTTGGAAGGCTGGAGGTCATGGCAATGTGCATGGCTCCGCCATGGCCGTTGCCCAAGTCGAACAGGTGCAAAGGCAGTCAGGCGAGGTGTCGGGAATAGTGTAGCTACCTCAAGAATTCAGTATCAAGGGCTGTTGGTGTTTTGCAGGACGTCATACTTTAGCAGAGGCGTGCTTCCAGCCTAGTCACAACGCGGCACAGCGCTGTTATTAAGATTTTGCGCGAACTTCTTGGATACCTTCTGGATGGTTGTGTCCATGTTGTTCGGCAGTACTGCGCTTCTTCTTCCTTTCATCAGTTCTTATCCTTTTTTAGTAGCACTTCTTGCACCCTTCCAATAGCAGAGGCAGAAGGACGAAATACCCTGATCTCTATAATCCACGAACCCCAAGGTTCCATTTCATTTTGCATTTTCTTTTTCCCTCCGATTCCCCGGTATTGGGGTCACATATCTCTATACATCCATAAATCATCGCTGTATGACCCCTGTACATGCCCCATGTAACCCCTGCACGGGACCCTCAACCCTAACCCCTAGCTCCCATATGGTAGTTTCCCTAAATGGGGGGATCACAATCTAGACTCGAAATTGCTAACTGATGATATAACCCTAGTTTTGGGAAATCCTGTAATACCCCTGTCATAATAATCCCTTCCCCCTAATA